AGGCCATTACTTTGGAAATGGAACATCAAGGTGATAACAAAGGTGAAGACAGCATTTTGCACCATTCTGTTGACGTAATACGAGAATACTAACAAACTAGATTGCTCTGGAGTGTATTGAATCAAATGCGGCAACTGTGGCAGATGCGTTCCGTCAAAGAGGAAGAAAGATCGGCCAATAAATTAAGGAACATCAAAGACTCTGCAAGAACATGTATTCGGAAAGATCCAAAAAAGCGGAACACAATGCACGAACGGGAGACGAAATCTACCGAAAGGCTGGCTGCATTTGGTGAAAATATGAGAAAACGCAAGATCCGAGAGGCCATCGAAATACTGACGGAGAGAAATATAATGAACAGGAGACTTGAAGAAGGCAGGATCAGCGAAAACTTCGCATTTGCCTAAACAAACTCGGAGAAGACCAGGCAACAGGAAGATGAGCAAAAAGAAGACGTAACATTCTTAATTTTAGGAAAAGAAATCGCAAGGGGACGAGAAAGGAACAATTAGAAGCAGAGACATCTTCAGTGGGCCTAATCAAAACAAATATAACCACAACATTTGTGGGTTGGCACACAAGAGACTATGGCATAGCAAGTCATAAACATGGGATTAGGGATAGAAACAGGATAGACGCGGTGGAAACTAGAGCTGGTTGACTAACAATAGATCATAGACGTGATCCATACGCAGTGGCTTGACGATGAAACTTACTCAGGGACTTTAGCTTCGAATTAGTCTCCCAGAAGTAGAGTGTGGGAAAGAAAGTCTCGAGTAGCAGAGATGAGGTGGCAGAGGTCGAGTGAAATACTTGAACCAGGGAGAAGGCAGAATGATCCTAAGGGGAAAGAGGGAGATTCTGATAAGACCTATGGAAGGAAGACTGCGTAGCAATATTGCTGACTCTGATCCCAATTTCCAGCACAAGGGTGAAGGAGAGCGAGAACGCCAGCGTGGAGTTTGGAGGATTCTCATGAAAGCCGCTCAAAAGGGCACACAACACTACATTTAAATAATCAAGTAAAAAATAAATAAATTGTGATAGTGAAGGTGTGATACGAGGATATAGGAAAAGTAATAGCCCATGACAAAGCAGAGATAACACAACTGGTTGGCACACATTTGGTCAAAGGATCGGCTTCAGGCATCTCTTTGACGAGTTATAGTGTGGTGCTAAGAATGGCAAAACTCACTGACGATGCCGGCGAGAAAGTACCACATCTACGGTCCAACTTTGGAAATTATCATACATACAATGAACTTCGGACCAGGTGCGTTCCTCTATGTTATCCTACCTATATGACCATGTTGTGAAAACAAGGTCAAACAACCGCTATACATTTTATTTTGTTTGAAGAAGCGAGTGGAAGGGATTCGTAAGTTTGTATCACAGAAAACAGTAGGGGGATTGCCGTTGAGCTATGATTGTAGATTTGTGCGAATAGGTCCTCGGCGCAATTCCCCGAAACCGCGATGAATTCTTTCATGTGACGGACATCTTCAGAGCAGAACACCATGCCTTACAATTCACCAAAACACGAAGGTGGCCGGCTTTAAAACTACCTATTTCTTATAGTCCAATTTGTCCATTTACTCATCTCATGTTTTGGTGGGATATCATATGCTTCGCTCATGAGCTAAGTGGGTGTGTGAAGTCGCTGCAAATGAAGCATAAAACGGGTCCAATTGTGACCGAATAGTTGCATCCTCCCCTAAAACATGTATGCTTTTGATCCTGTAATCCTACCGAATGTGATTGCGTTTAATTGCACTCGTAAAGTACGAATGCATCGTTCATGGAATGAGTGAGTCAATGTGAGTCAACACCAGGTTCCAGCCTAATCAAGCCACCTCTCGCTCGCCTGTAGTTCTTGTTCCCCCACCTCTAACTCTCCAATCCTATCCAACGGCCACAAGTCGTTTTCACTTAACTTTCTCAACTCGTTCCTTCTTTTCAGGGCGTTGGCTGTTTTGTGGCTTTCTATCGTCTTCTTAAAATTTCGCTTATTGGTTGCTATAGTACCCATATCCAGCGTTTGGCATTAGATCAATCGAAACCCAATTTTGCTACATCAGACCAATCTACCTGGCGTCCTGTAGACCTGTGTTCGACCAATTCAGATTTGTGGACCCACAGACCCTAGCAGGCTGTTATGTGTAGAGATCACCTCTTTTGTATGGGCCTACATGTCTCTTTCACATACGCCCAACCGCATGTAAAGAAAATCTTCTAACAGCCCCATCTGGAGAGGTCAGAGCATTCTCG